TAAATTTCCCCTCTTCCATTTACCTCTTTACTCCTGGTCCTGTAAATACAGTTCCTAATGAAGAGTCCCCCTCCAGCTTCCCAGATATTGGAAGGTTGCTATGAGGTCAGCACACAAACCCAAAGATCCTTGTGGGTCCTTTCCGACTCAGAATATTCTGTCAATCTGTGAATCTCTGAACCTTCTCTTCTTCCAGACCCAACTTTCTCCACCTCCCTTCTTAGGGAAGGTGCTTCTGCCCTCTCACCAACTTCCTTCTCTGGACTTGCACCAACAGTTTCAATACATGACTTCTTTGCTAGTCTTGATGCAAAACATCATGTATGTATAGGAGGTATGAATAAGTCTGCAACCAAAAGTAGCCCTATAATCAGTAGGGTCTGGGTGCAGTTGGTGATCTATGTAGGTTTCTAAGTGAGCCTTTCAGTCTTTCAGCATTTTATGATTTTTAAAATTATGAATAATAATTAAAGTGGAAGTCCAACAATGAGACATCTGCTTAAAAAAAGCTGAAGTTCTCTCTCTGGCTCCCAGGGCATTTTGTAGGGCTTATTAGCTTAGCTTATGCTTAATGAAATTCTTTAGCCTTATTCTCTGCATGAGTTGTGAACACTTCAACAACTGAGCGTTCTTTATAAGAAGCTTATATTCAATGATATATTCCTTTTCCACTTCTGATTTACTGTAGTTTCAGTACGAGTCTGTTTGCCTAACTTACCTCAGGTAAGTTAGGTTACATGGTTAGAAAATACATGGTTGGAAAATATAACCACATTAAAAGATTGAGAGATAAAGATTTTTACCAACCATGAGATTGATTGGTAAAAAATGATTAAGGATAATCAATGATCAAGTAGAAAGGAGCAGGTCCTCACCATGGCAGTATTAATTAGTCAAGGGTAAACTGTAGTCCAGAGTAGCCCAACAGTTACAAACCAAGTTTTACTGCTATGACATATTGACATGAAGTCTTTCAGGATAGCCAAGAACAGAGAGAGAGTGTCAAGACAACAAAGCCCCGATGGCTGTATTCCAGTTGGCAGTAGTATAAAATAGGAGATTCTAAGTAAAAGACACTTTGAATCTGATTTTTACTGCATCCTTTTTCTGGTACAAAGAGCTAGTGTAGTTTCTCCCATCCACTTTTCACTACTGCTCATTGTAACACTGAGACATCAACAATTTTACAGGAAATTCCTATAACACCACCACCAAACAAACAAACAAAAAAAAGTCTTAAGTCTCTATGCTATCAAAAAGCAGAGAATAGAGTCAATCACATAATATCCCACTGAAATTCCAACCTTTCTAGATGTTCACATTGAAAATCTTGGCTAAAGAAATTCTACATGAGCAGTGTTCCTGAGCCATGGGTATTACTAACGTTCTCTTTATACAGCAGGCTTCCACTGTTTCCAGTGAATCAGCCTTAGGAGAGAGTGGTAAACTTGGCTCATAAGTTTCAAAGCTTTTCATGAGGTAAAATTGCCTGACCCTGTGGCTCAAAGTCATCCATTGGTTTTAACTGCAAAATTCCTGCTGACATAAATAAATAACCATTCTGGGTTTTGGGAAAGCCTATTCTCTATGAATGCAATACACTGACATCTTAAAAAAAACCCAGCAATCTAAATAACATTAATCCTTTGCTACTGCCTGAGTGCTTTTCTTCCAAGGTTTTTAACATATTCAGGCACTTGAGTGCATTTGGTTTCACAACTTGTTTATCACAGTCATACGGATTATAAAACTTCGGCATGACCTCAAAATTAGACAGAAGAATGTGGGGGAAGCATGAATATCCAATTCCTCTGAGTTAGAATACAGAAAATTCTTTTTGTTCTTTAACTATGGAACTTGTTATTCCTTGCCTATACGTACAAATACAGTAGATGTAGAGAGAGAAAATACATACAGAGTATACATGACACCACACAGTATTATCATAAAATCATAGAATTTCTCAAGTTGTAAGGGACCCATAAAGATCACCAAGTCCAATTCCATGCTCCTTGCAGACCTACCTAAGATTAAACCATATGACTAATAGCAGTATCCAGAGTGCTCCTTGGCTTCTGAATGACTTGGTGCCATGATCCCTTTCCTGGGAAGCCCCTTCCAGTTACTGACCACCCTCCCAGCAAAGAACCTTCCTCTGATGAAACTTTACTCCATTTCCTTGTGCCCCATCATTGATCATCAAAGAAAGAAGATCAGCACCTCTTCCTTCACTGCCTGCGTTTAGAAAGGTGTAGACTGGTCACCCCTCAGCCTTCTCTTCTTCAATCTCATCAAACAAGTGACCTGGCCTTCCTCCTAAGTCTTGCCCTGGAGGCATTTCACCATCTTGGTCATCCTCCTCCAGACACACTCTTAATAGTTTGATGCTTTTCTGATACTGAGGCATCCAACTCAGCACACAGTGCTCAAGAAGGAGCTGCACCAGAGCAGAATAGAGCAGGACAATCACTTCCCTCGACCAGCTGGTGATGCTGTTCTTGATGTACTCCAGGGCATGGTTAGCCTTTTTTGCTGCCAGGGCACTGCTGGCTCACATTCAATTTGTCATCAAGCCAGACACCCAGATATCTTTCCCTGTGGCTGCTTTCCAATCTCTTGGATCCCAATATTTATGTATAACCAGGACTACACTGTCCTAGGTGCAGAATCCAGCACTTGGTCTTATTAAATTTCATATGGTTGGTGATTACTCAGCTCTCAGGTCTATTCACATCTCTCTGTAAGGCCTCTCTACACTTAACAGAGTCCATGGTATCTCCTAGTCTAGTATCATTAGCAAACTTAATGTACATTAAACTACTGCATCCAGATCTTTACTCCAGGTAGTCAGATGCTCTACATGGAATAGCCACCCCTTGTTTTGAGAAGCTGGTGCCTTAGGGTTCGTAGATTAGCTTCTTTGACTCAAACTGGACCAGAATTAAAGCATTCCTGAAAAAATGGGTGACTTTGTCTTTCATGCTCTTTCAGCATTGAAGGTAAACTATCAAACCCATAGTTTTTAGAACTAGTTAACAAGTTAAAACTTCCATGATGATATCTTTCAACACTAATTAATTTTTCTATATACAAAAATTTCGTTTCAATCCTATTCAATCACTACAGAGAGAAAATACATTATTAATCCACTTTATCAAGTCTGACTGAATAGAACTTAATTACAAAGATGTCTTCAACAAATTTCACTTGAGGTTTCTGCATTTTGAGAAATACAAAACATGATGTGAAAATCTGAAGCATGCCTTCAGTTGAAGGCAATCTGCAATGGCAGGACTGAGAGTGAAACCCCAAAACCTCACAGAAAGCCTGAGTGAATGTTTACAAAGCAGATGTGATGAGCTGAAATCTTTTTTGCCTGTGGAAAAAGTGCAGAGGGAGCATTGCTCTGGTGATTTGCTTTGTTTTATTGTTATTCCAGTCAGTGGGTTCTAGCAGCAATTACCAGTTGTGCTTTCTGGTATGTCCTGAGCCATTCAGCACCATGGTCAACATGACCAAGCCCTCTCCATAATCAGATTGGTATTAAATTCACAGCCCATGCTTAGTGTAAAGGTTAAAAAAATATTAAAAATGTAAAAAAAAATTACAAAATTTACCCACATTCATTATGGGGAACTGTTTTCATGGGTTTAACTCAGAGTAAAAAGATACCTCAAGGCTTGTGCTTAGCTATACACACGAACTACTTTAGTTAGAGTTGGGTAAACTATGAGTTAAAGCCACTCCTCACCTGAAATAGCAAAGTTGCAAAATTTTAGAGTGTAAATAAGAAGTAACCTGCAATATATTACACAGACTCTGAATGCTGTATAGAAACTCTCAGTTTTTTTGTTTGTTTGTTTGTTGTTTTGTGGGGGTTTTTTTAATCTTATGTAACAGCCAGATCTTTTCTGTGATTTCATTCTAAATCAGGGTTAAGCAGAGCCTTTTGCTAGAAATACCATCTCAGTGCAAAAATAGCATGGAAAAATCCCGTTTTAAAGCTATAAAATTACTTCCCAAGGGAGGAATGGTGTTAGCTTTATTGAAAATAGGTAGCATAGATTTCTTAATAAAGGAGTTTGTGAGGTATCAAGGAAGTCTTTTGACAGTATTGCTAACACCTGGAGAAGGCCTTATTACTTTCATACAACTACTTTAGTTCCTACCATGACTAGTCCCCTGGGGACTATTCATTGTTTTCCTTGTTAAACTTTTCTATAGGAGGAAAAAGACATCAGAGGACATCACTCGTCTTTGACAGAGGTCACTGTTAAGCATTATCATCTATTTTTATCAGTTGTTTGGTCATTAATTTTTGCCTCATGCTTGATGCTACAATTAGCAGATCAGTTTGTGTGAGGGAATGACACAAAAAAACCCCAACAAAGTACAGATACCTTCATGCTCTCTCTTGCAAATTGGGCTATCAAGAGTCTGAAACAGATCTTTCTGCATGACCAGAGTAGTCACACCAACAGATGTACTCATATTTACACCTGCACCCACGGATATGACTGAATTATATTCTTGCACAGAGTTCCACTGTCTTGAAGACAACAATCCATATGTGATCCTTCAGTGGTTCAGATGGTAGGATCAGGGCATTAAGTCCCTATGCTATGCTTAGAAGTAGATGATTTGGATCTCTGACTAGTATCTTGCTAAACTTTTTTGAAAGAAAAAGAAAACAGTAAAATGGCATTTTTATGCTTTCAACACTGGGTATTTTTTTCCAACTTGTTTACCTAAGCAGCTTAAAATTCAGGTTTTCTTTCTTTTCTCATGAGTTATGGTCACTCGGACTTCTCATTCCAGTTTTTTATCCAATAAGGGTGTTTATGGTTGAGTTACAACCTCCTGAAGCATAAGGTTTGTGACAAAAATGCTGACAACTGTAACCATTGCCTAAACTGTGGTCACCACCTCAGCAACGCAGTGGGATTTGAACTTCATACCTTAAATGATGAAATAATTGTTTGATTTCTTGTCTTTTGCAGTTCCTGCTTTGTGGCGTTTGTGGAATATTGTGCGCCAAAAAAAAATCTGGACTTGTCGTAAGTTTTTCCACTACATCCATAACACATTAACTATTTAAAAGCCTTACTTATCTAATTTGAACTCTTTACTGTGGGCTTTCTGCACCCCAGGGTTTTTTGATAAACAATGAGAAAAATTACAAGTTGGCAATCTAAAAAAAGTAATCAGCACTTTGGAATAGTCATAAAAAACAAGGCAGTGCTGAAGTGGCCTATGTAGGTCATGCTATTTAAGCCATACATCCCTATTTATCCGTATTTAGATAAACTTTGATTAGAAATCACTTGATATAGATTTATGTCAAGTCAATAAATCCTTCTCAAGAATGTCACTGGACTGTATCTTCTCTCCTTCAAAAAACAACACTGGGTTGCAATCTCAATAAGGCTGCTGACCAAATTTGTTTCTAGATATCATAGTTGTTAAGTATTTAGCAAATTTTTTTAGCCATCTGAAACACATGTATGCAAGTTTTAAAGTGATGGAAGATGTCTCTTGGAGTACAGTCATTTTTCTGACTGCAGCAAAACAGTGTTATTAATCAACAAGTCACAGCAGAATTCTATTTTAAAGACATGATCTTAATGTAAGTGATAATGCCCATCCTAATTTTCTGTCAGCTTGATTATTCTGCCACATACAGATGGAAGTCACATAAAACAAGCATAAGATGTGACAGGAATCAAAAGTTCTCTCCAATTATTTTTCAATATCAATGAGTTATCCTAAACTCTGTTAAAATGACAGTCTCATTTCTTAAAATGTGTATCATAACCAGTTTCTAAAAGCCATCTGTTGCAGAGGTCTCATGGAATAGTCATTTGCCAGTGGACTGCAATATACATCCTCAATGCCACATTCCTAATGAAATTCTCATCCCAGTTACATACAGAAGTAGTCTGTAAGGCTCCATAAATTTTTGCTACCACAGTAGACAAGTACAAATACAAAGCCATATGGAGAAACATTAAAGGCCCATCTAGATCATTTGACAGGTCAGCAGTATCAAGGGAAGTGAATAAGACAATCATTTAACACTCTCTCCATAATAAGATCTTTTGCTCCTGAATCATTTGAGGTTAATGCACATCCTGAACCAGTGTAACATCTTTGTGATTGAAAGCAATAGAAGGTCTTTAAAAATGTCTCATTGACTGTAGCCTGTTTCACAGCTTTTTAAAATTCTCAGGAACATTTTAGTCAAGTTAAAATCAACCAAATCAACCAACCAACCAACCAACCAACCAACCAACCAACCAACCAACCAACCAACCAGCTATGTAGTCAGCAAACTGACCTTCTGCAAAGCAGCATCACAGATTTCTTTGTTGTTTCTTTTGGTTCTCTGACCAGCACATTCACCTTGAACTCTTTCAAAGACCGCACAAAAGCTGCAGAAAGCCTCCAGTCTGCTATCTGACTGAATAAATTTTAATTGAGCAGGAGGCACAGTCAGAATGAACACAAAGCAAGAGAGATTCACTACAAATACATGAAGCATTCACTCCTGAGGCAGGGTGATAAACTGCACAATAGAAAATTATGACACATTCTGTCATGTTACTGTTTTGCATGAACAGCTGGAGATCAGTTTTGTGTTCTAGCAGTCCTTCCATTGAAAAGGTTGTAACTTTACCTACTCATTTTACCCAACTTTTTTTTACATGCAGCATCTTAACTCTCATATACCAGAAGGTAATATATTCCCTTGGAGAAATGGGGGAGCTAAGAGAGTTAAAAACAAGTGTCTGTGCAGTGTTTTGCAGTCAATGGTGCTAACAAAGAACTGAGCTATGGTTATCTCATATTTTATATGCTTTAATAATCCATCTGTGAAAAATACTACTGTGACATAACCTCTCTCGTCTCTCCTGACAGATGATACTTTTTTCTGCCTGTTGCATCTGTGGACTAATAGGAGGAATCTTAAATTTTCAATTTCTTCGTGCTCTGACAAAGAAGTCATCTGCTCTCTATTCTTTGCATCTTGCCTCCATGTCTCTTGCATGCATTGGAATTGGTGGTTGCACCCTTTCTTCATGGCTCACTTGTCGGCTAGCCAGCTATGAACAAAGGCGAATGTTCTCAGAAAGGGAACATTCATTGCATCACTCCCATGAAATGGCAGAAAAAGTGAGTTGTGTGTCCTCCCTTATTTGTTCTGCTTCTCCTGAAATGTTTCTGTATGTGTTAAAGTTTACAGTTGGCAAGAGATGTATACAGTTTTCAGTTTTATATGAGAAAGAGCGCCTGGAAAATGACATGCTGCCATTCTGTGTAAGCTTTATTATGTTGCATTTTATGGAGCTATTTTTAGGTACTGTCTATTTGCAGTACATCCATTTCAATGAAGTACATCCATTTTCAACATAATTCCATTGTATAGCTATTCAGGGGCTTAGCTGCTAAATATAGCACTTCCTAAATAATTGGAAGCCTTATTAATATGAATTATCATGTATTGTACTGTGAAAAAAGCATAGAAAGCTTTCTGTAACCACATCATTGCATGCCTCCAGGATTTAATCAATTTCTTCCTCTCCCAAGTACTCAGCTTATAAATTAGGTTATTTAAACAGAAAAGCCACAGTTCACAAATGTAGGTGACTTTACCTAAGTATCTAAGGGCACATTTAGATACCTAAATGAAACTGCATTTGCAGTGCTGAGCATTTACTTCTTTTCTGTATTAATAGGAAGCCTACCAAGGTGTATAGGAACATCAATTAGGTGCTGAAACTGAAGCTCCCAAAGCTGAGCACATAGGATCAAAACAATTAATGGAATGGAAGTCTTGAAATCACCTCCTTGACTTAACAGATTTGAATAATATTTGAGGTGTTAAGTGCTTGTAACCTCGTGCTTTGCATTTGGACTTAGTATCTATCCGATGCTTTTCATTTGAGAAATGGACAGAAAAAAAGAACAAAAGTCAAGCTAACTGCCCACCTAAACCTCCACATGCAAGTTTGCATTACTGTTGAGTTTTAGAGTCTGTTGTCTACTGAAAACTCTGAAGAGCAGAACAAGGACTAGTTTGCTCAGACTGTAGAATTGTTTTCAGATTCCCTGAAAAAACATGATATAGCAGTTAAAAATGACTTGTCACTATTCTTTGGTTTCTTAACTGAGATGAGACTCCAAGTAGAAACAGATACTTGAAATGTGTTTTAAAAAGAGAATGTCTGAAATGCTTTAAAAAGATGTTTTAAATACATTTTAAAAAGTTAAATAATAGAGGTTACAACAGTAATATAAAGTAGGGTGATAAAATCAACAGATGAGATACATTTCTCCATCTCATTTTAAAATGAAGAATTCTGATGAGTTATTAGGCAAATATGATAGTCTTCTTGATGGAAGGCAAGATACTGACTTTCAGAGAGACTCTTGCCTCAACAAGGACAAAGATGGGAGAAAAGAGGAGAGGTAAAGGAAGAAGAAACAGCTTGGAAAGAAAAAAACATTCAAAATAAAAAGAAGCCACCAACACAATCAATTTGGGGTGAGGATGACCATGTGTAACAGTAGTTTGCTGCCCTACCTTCCTGGCCTGTTGACCTACTGAGGTTCTTAAAACTTAGCAGCAAGGACTGCCAGGGTCCACTTATCTTGAGTGAAGGGCCACGAGGTACATGCAGAGCAACCCTGTTGTACACACTCGGCAGATCTGGGATGTGCCCCACTGATGGCAGACTTCCTGCATGTCTGCTGTAGAGCCAAGTATGCACGTACCTATGGCCTGATTTGGGAATTCTTAGACCCACAGACTGCCTGCTGATGGCAGGATTGGGTACACCAGCTCACAGCATGCCCCTAAGAGATAATGAAGTCTACATAAAAACTTACATTAAATTAGACCCTAATTTAGAAAATAGATTAGAAGTGGTTTATATAAGACTATATTGTATATTTTTATATATACAGTAATGTAGACATGTACTGCATGTGCATTTGTTTGTGCTATATTTATTGTATAATTGTTATATTTACATTAGAGATTGAGGGGTATTGAAATAACCGACCTGCCCAGCTGTCCGGTGATTCCCCCGACACCAGAGTTACCTCCAAGGTACGCTGAACACTAGGGAGCAACCATGTTGTTATGTCACTTCAGGAAGGGCCACCTCTACGAGGAAGTCATAGTTTCAGCTAATCAAAGTTGGCTGATGCTGTGATGTCACTCTGAGGCAGGAATGGTGCTTCCAGGTAGTGACATAACTCCACGTGGTGAACGCTGCAATCCAGAAGTAAGTTGAGTATTTAAAATATTCACCCTAGTTACAGGCATCCAAATACTCTTATTTGGATGCAGCCACCATTGATTCACTCTGCTTCTAATCTGTGTGCTCCTTCATTCCCCAAAATCAGCAATTTTTTTATTTAAATTAACTTTTTTTTTTTAAATAGAAATATTGGGGAAAATTAATGGGTTTTCATATTTTCTGAAACTATGGTGATATTCTAATAGCTGATGTCTGCAGACGATTCAAGTGATGAGGCTGACAAAAGGAAACTCAGGAGTAGCCTTCTGACAGATCATTACCACCAAAATATGGCTGACTGATAGTTACTATTAAATGGCTTTGGTATTCTTGGTCTCTTTCCCAGCTAACAGATATCTTCAGTGTAGATCCAACAAAAGCTTTAGGCACCCACAAATAAACAAGTTATAGTGCCAGACAACCCCCAAAGTGGGAACCATAGTCCAGTGTTAGGCATGCATGTTACTCTTCAATATATGAGGAGAATAAGGCACAATACCAAAACATCCATCATCTGCAGACAGAGACCTGAGTGGTAGAAAATACTGAAAATTAGTTTCACACCTGATTTTCTCTGAAGCTTATGCTTGATTCAGGAGTATTAATTGGCAAGGCTACTTGGTGTGATGACCCTAAGCTTACATTGTAGCGAAGAATAGAACATTCCCTCTTTCAAAAACTGTGAAGGGAACGATTAAGTCCTGTGATTTGCTTTAAAATGTAGCTAGTAACACCTGAGAAAGGAGGCATCAGTGCTTTTTAACTTTGTTACTCTGAGTTCTGGTCTCTGCTTGCCAAATATTGTGGATTAAAACAAGAGAGAGACAGAGTAAGACTAGTAATAAAGACCAGGTTGTATAATTTTCTTCTCTTTACCACGAATCTCAGCTACTTTGTTACAGAGTTGGGCTCTTTCTTTCTGTCTTTCTCTCTCTCTCTCTCTCTCTCTCTGTCTAGCCCAATGAATGTTGCTTCACTTTTTTTACAGAAGCTTCCACAGGAAAGGGGACAAACCCCTTTTATTCCACATTTTCTCCAAGTGTACCTAGGAGGAAGAAGAGGTGAATTTAATCTTTCCGTGCAGAGAAGAGCCTCTGGTCATCATGCAACTATTTTAGAACTAGTCCAACACTGCCACCTCCACCTCATTTAGCCGAATTTTAGAAATACTCCAAGCTACATTTTTACTTGTACCCATTCCTCTTGCCATAGCTGAATGTTCTCTGTCATTGGACATAAGCAGCAGATCACTTATTTCTGCATCCAGATTCAATCTGGTATGAAATAGGCCTGGGATTGCTCAGAATAAGGTGATTCCTACCATAAACTCAATGTGGCTTTGCAGCCTTGAAAATCAGAGAACTGTTTAATTAATGTAGCCATCTCTATGCTTAGACAGCTGCTAAGGGGGTATTGTTTGGACTTCAATTTGAGAATTAGAAAATCTATCTCCAAACAAATCTTGGTTTAGGTGCTTTAGGATTCTGACTCATGAGCCAGCCAGCTTACTCTGGGATGACTCACCTGCCACTGGAGAAGCAATCCCTGAGCTGCTAAAATTGTAGACTGGCATATTAAGGGAAAACTAAAATCAATCCCATCCCAAGGGAAAGCAAGCAGTTAAAACCCTTAGGTCCTGTTTGGATTTAGATTTACTTCCCAAATGTCTATTTCAGCAAGCATTGAATGGCATCTGTTTGTAGTATGTCAGCACGGATAGAGGTTTGAATGGAAACAGAGACTTAACTACCGTTTCGTTCTTTTGTAGATCAGCACACGAGCCTGAGTTGATGCAATTTCAAAGGACAACATCACAAACTTGTACAGATGCCATCAATGCTGTATATGTGGTCTGAGTGTAATGTCCAACTCAATCACTATCAATGAGTCTATCAGCTTTCAAATGTACCTAATTTATACAGGAAAAAAATATGATTTTTTTTTTATAATGAGGTTTATCAAGCTAAATAAAAATGTAAAATGTTTCTGAATGTTTGAAATTCTGAGTTTGTTCAAATTTCATCACAACCTTTGCTAACTGAATTTTGAACACCTTACAATAATTCTAATTTTAATTAATATTTTATATTCTTGTTCTAGGAAATGACAGACAACTTAAGCAATGGTGGCCCACATCTGATTTATAATGGAAGTGTATATTAAGAAATTTTTAAAAGTTCCATGGAAGGAAGTGGTTTTAGAATTTTCTTCAGGAAAAAAAAATAGACTCCAAGAAATTAAGAAAATGAAACTATCTTAGCTTTTATGGCTCAAACGTCACAACTGCAGACCAGCAGAGTTGCAATTCCCTTTTAGAACCATGTTCAAAATTTGTCTCCTAAACATTTTGCGGATATACAATATTTATTCACTTCCTGGCTACTCTCAGTTTTTTGTCTGAATAATCTTTCTGAATTGTGATAGTATTTGAAATAGACTTCTCAAGACTCTTATTCTCATGAAGACTCAAAAATCAGAAAAAACCCAAACTGAACTGCATTTAGCCCATTCAAAGGAGAAGGCAGAGGAAGAATGGCTCAGGGGAATCTTTTTCTCCTCTCCACTTAGCAGCATCTGGTGTAATATGACGGCTTCAGACCATGGCATGGTACAGCAACACATCTGCACAGTCCCTCTCCTCACATTTTGAATGCATCCTGCCTCTGTTTTCCCAGTAGATCATATCAAAAGAGAGTGCAAACTCCTCTTCCAAAAAAGCTCCCCTTTCACATTGAGTGTAAATGAACAGTGTGCTGAAAACAAAACTGATGTCTTTGTTTTGAAAGACAGAATGCTCTGAGAATGCCATAAATCAAAACCTCAATAATGCCTTGTTGTAAAGAAATTGTAAATATTTCCAATTTGTGAACGAAGTATATTTCGTAATTTGTTCATAAAAGATGACAAATAAAATGAAATCTAAACCAGAGATTTTAGAGAGATCTTTTTGGGTTTTTTTCTTGTTAGAAAGATCTTGCAAAGCTGAATTGTCATGCTTGCAGTTTAGTACTGAGAAGTTTCTAAAAGAGTGAAGCAAGCTCAGAAGGGGAAAAAAATAATGAAGGCTGAAAAAGTCAAGGTCAGAGGTTACTGGTAATTTTTCCAACAACAATAATGTTTGGGAGTATGTTAAAGCAGCAGGTATGCAACTTTAAATGCCCCCAAACTTTACTGTAGAACCTAGTGGTTTGTACTGCCGTGAAAAATGAAAGATATCATCTGTAGCAGAACATTTAAAGCATAATGTTAATATTCATATAAAATCGCTCATATGTTACATAATGAGTCTATGACTTTGCAGTACTGCCCAGCACTGCAACATGAATTTGAGATGTGAGCATCACTGATGACTGGCAACATTTGGTGATTCATACCCATATTCTCAAACAGGTATGAATAGAACCCTATTAATGTGCAAACCACGCCATAAAACCCTCTAAAAATTACATTAAATTGTTTTGTGAATCTGTATGGCATAAAATAATCTTAAAATCTACTATCTTAGAATTTTTGAAGTCTGTAAGGGGTTTTCCCATCTAATTACAACATGGGGAACAGCTTCACTGCAATTTAAGTCTCTCACTTAAACTCCAAGCTAACTAGTTGGATGGCTAAGCTTATGAGTCAAAAAATGGTCCACCTTATAAGGCTTCTCTTCATTTACTTACTGTCCAGAAGAGCTTTTGAATTTTCTCAAAGGCCCTAATATACTAGTAATTATTACATCTCTTAGAAATTGCTAATGAGACCGTTCAGGTTCATAAATAATACAGATATAGTCATAGCAAAGTAACTAGATGTTAAGGTATCTCTGCTCAAGGAAGTGCTCCCCTTTCCAGATAGTACCAGACTTTAAACTGTCTCCTTCACTACATTACAGATTCTTTGTGCTTTTTATAGGTGCTATTGTCCCTTTAGTTGATACTTCTCTTCCTCTGCAGCAGGAAGCATGAGATAAATCTGTCCCCAGTATGTGCCCCTTATGGGAGCATTTTTGCTGCAACTGCAGACACAACCTGCCAAGGCAAGACCGTGGTATAAATGGGTGCAGACATTCACGTATATTGAAAAATGCACATTGAACATACAATGTGAGGAGGTGGTTCTGTAACTTTCCTTTCCTCATTGCCTCAGAAGAAAAAACCAAACAAAAAAACAAACATGTAAAAGGGCCTTGTAAAATAAAATCAAGAGCAATTTTAAAAATTACTCCCAAGTCCACTTTGGAACTACCTGGCTGAGGTTCATCTCTAGGCTCCATAGCACAACTACAATATCACAGTTCACCAGAGTCTCTTGTGACATCTCAGGACCAGGAATGGCAGCTTCAGATCCTGGAGCAGTTTGGAGTTGCAGTTCAGAATCTGCTCAGGAATGACATGAAAGTACTGACCATAACACCACCCAGTTATTTATCACAAATGCCTAATTCCTGGCACATTAGTGAGAGTAGTGCAGGTAAAGAGGTGATTCTTCTATATCCAACACAGTAGCTCAGTACAACAGCCACTTCCTCATACTTATGAAAGGAAAGGAGGATACATTCTCTAAACTCATAATGTTTAAAGCCCTGCTGTAAATTATAAAATATCACCACACCATGTTTGCTCACAGAGGTGCTGGAAGGACAGAGAAGAGATTTGGGCCCCAAATTCAATTGGCAGGGGATTTTTCCTTCTTTTGGTGCCAAGCTTGTAGAATGTAGAAAAACTGGCTGGTCCCCGCATAAATGTAAATCCTTGAAAATGCAAATCTGGAATTAAAAAACTTGAGAACAAATGGGACAAAGAGTGCTCTTACTTGAGACATAAAACCGGGATCAGAATTCTTAAATTCAGAGTAAATTACCACAATATGTGTATGTGGTAGGGGAATTCTGGGAAAAGTTTCACTTTGTTTAATGGTTTTGTTTCATAATTGCATACAGAATTCAACTGTAATGGAAACATTCTCTGTATGTTTTTGTTACCGGTATAGATGAAAGGACATTCATTCCACTTATCCATATGCATGAAAAACAAAACTTTCACTTTTCAGATTGTGACCAGCCAGTGTAACTACACCAATAGCTTGAAGGCTGGGCACACAAGTCCTTTTCAACCTAAACAGGATGAAACATGTATTGCTGTTGACACAATTGTCTGATTCATGTTGCTGTAAAATCAGATGCTGGCTTAGATTTTCTCTGAGATATTCAGCTGTTATTTACTAGGTCAAGCAACACTCTTCTTGAAGGAAGTTACTTACTGAACTTTGTGCAGAGGACTTAGTTAGTAAGTCCTTGATGTATGTTATAATACCTTAGGCTATATTTTATGCTATACTTTGCATTTCATTGAACCTCAACTGATGAGAAACACACACATTTTGAATTCACAACAATCAGCAGTGCTTACTGCAAACTGTGCAGAAAAGTGCGTATAATATGTTTAAATCGCTGTCTTGCACAATCTTCAATATCTATTTGTTGTATTAGGACATAAGAATTTCCCTTCGGATGGTCTGAAGTGGTATGAAAAACAGTGAAGCAGGCCACATTCAATAGGAAATTGATATACATTAAGCCATAATCACAAATAGTCATGCTTATATAAAAAAAGAATTCCCTGACAGTGTGATTTTAAAGATACAGTGAATGAGAGTCTCATGGTTTAAGCCATTTTTTATCCTTTCAGATCCCAATCCCAGGCAGGTTAAGGAGTTAAAAGGAGCTTCTTATAATTAAGTGCTTAGAAATATCTGAAAAAACAGACTGGTGTGAGACTACCATATCATAGTAGATATTACTGCATAATCTTCCTGCCTAAAATGGTTCTATCTAGCGTTCATTTTCTTTATCAAAGTGACATCTTTAGCTTCACCATAAACCTCCAACATAAACAAACGACATGTACAACCAAAGCAGTTGCACATGTATCTGGAGACAAATTTTAAAGAATATTTTTAGAACTCGGACAAGGGCTAACCAGACAGACTTGGAACTGCCAGGAGGCAGGGAAAAAGAAAAAAAAAAAAAGAAAATAGAAGAATATTTTTGATAAAACATAATTTGATAGGAGTTAAGATGCTAAACCCATCCTAGTTTAGTATCATCAGCCTAAGGAGCTCTAAAGGACCTTAGGAAGCTTGCTCAGAAAGGCCTTTTTACTCCTAATTATAAAATTGTGAGAATGCAACTTGGTGTTTTGAACGAAAGAAAAAGAACTGGATGAGATTAATCAGAAGCTGGAATTTCAGCAGAAGGTATGTGCCTGGAGAGACTTGCTTGGCTATGAAATTTTTGTTCTGCTAAAGAAAAAGCAGCTTTGACTTGGAGCAAAAAGTCCAGAGGGCTGTACCAGGGTCTCTCTTGCCACCTCTCATCAAAACAGTCAGAGAAACACTGAGGACACAGCATAGACACCTACTTCTGCCAGAGAACCAGCAATAAGCTGTGCAGAACACCCTCACAACTGCTCTGTGGTTCCCTCAAATGAGCTCCCAGCATATAAAGAAGTGGCAGGTTTTTTGTTTTTTCCCTTTACATTGCGTTCAGTTTGCTGCAAGGTATCTTTTATGTTCTTTAACCACAAGTCATAGCAGGCTGCTAGAGTAACTTCCACATCTAAGTAGAAAGTTTTTGTTTGGTTGGTTTTTTTTCCCAGACCACTCTGAAATTAATTTAAAATCCTGCCATAAACTGCAAAATGTTTATTTCTAAAAATATATGCAGCTATGGCATTTTGAACAAGTTGACCATGTACATTAATTAAAAATAACTTCATCTGTATATTGAAAATAGCTGTTTACATGAACTGGCGTAATGTGCAATGGGAACATGCTAGGAAGGCAAGGACAAAGAGGTACCATAAACACAACTGAAAAGCTGCATATAATCCTGCTGATATAAACCAGGTACAGGAGTCAACACAACTTCCTTCTGCAACCTTAAGAAATCATACATACATTTAAAAAGATCTAAGAACCATTAGGATTTCCTACTCTCTTTCCTGCATCCCATGGCTAGTAGCTAGTGTGAGACAAACCAAATTATGTTACCAGGACCACAGACTTGCTCAACTCCTCTCCCACATCATTAGGTGAACCCTATTTTCTCTCCCTCCCACTTCATATTTGTTCAAGCTAGGAGATTGTGTCTTATATCTACCCTCATCTCTTCTCCTCTGTTAAAATGCAGCTGTATCCTTTAAAGTGTTTAGCATTGAATCAACTCCTACCTTTCTTGCCCACAGAAAGGAAACACTGATCATTGCCTTCATTTTATGGTGAGATTGAAAACAAGGCAAATCTAAATCTAAACCATGAAGTCCAAACATGCAGACTGACACTATTATATTCCTGTGGTTTGCTGCGTTACTGATATCATTGCTGTCTTCCTCTCTAGATCCAGGAATAAACTCCAAGAATGCTGATACCTAATAATTTTGAGAACTATTTATTAATTGTGTAGCACCCTGAAAAAGTATGTGTCAGAACTCTTTTTCTAACTATTACACATGAAGAACTGTAGGTTAATATTTATATCCACACTATGGTGGAAGCAGCAGAAATCTTAAAATGGTCCAGGAGTTCTGGATCTAAAAGGCATGGGATTCTGCATGATTGTATTTATTCAACTGATTGTTTTGCTTCTATTTTATACTTCCTAAAAATAACATATGAAGAAAACAGCTGAGTTTGCAAATTAAGATATTGAAAAATGAAGAAATACCTGGATGGGTTTTATAATTAATTTTTCCTTCTGTATAGCATAAGACAAGATACTTCATCCAACAATCCTTTTATCAATCATGTAACATCTTTGAAAGCAACATATATTTTTCCATCAAAAGACGTAATCTATCACCTCCCTTATTCCAGTGAGCACAAACTTTCCCACTTTAAAGTAATTTGTTTC